TCCTTCCACCTGGAGCTCTGAAGATTTCCAGGGGCTTATGGCTTTCTTCTCTTTCCAGTTCATCATTCGTCAACACCAGTCTCTAACTGATTTCTCAGTTTTTCTGCACTACATTATAACTTTTCCATGCCTTTCCAATCTTCCGTTCCTCACCCACTCCCCCTACATTCAGCAGATGGCTCTCCTCATACTTACTTCAGAATATATAAATTGGGGGTGGGGGGGCAGGAGAAACATCTGTAACAAAAATAAATTAATAAAAATTGAAAAAAAGAATATATAAGTCATCAGATGGGATCACTGTCATTTTCACAGTACTCAAACAATGTATGTGTACATGCCAATTATCTCCATTTTTCCTGCCATGGAATGAAAGTCCCTTTAAGGATCAAAGGCCATTCTTATTATCTTTGTTCTGGGACTCATGTCCTTTACACTTTTTAGGAATCATTCCTGATTATTCCTTTTTCTCTTTTGCATTTAACCTCTCCTCTCTACTTGATTATTTTCCTCAGCATGTAAATATGCTATATTATTTTACATACTTAAAAATATTTATCTTTTATAGAACTAGACAAGGTGATTTTAAAGTTTGTGTGGAAAAATAAAAAGGCAAAAATATCTAAGATAAGTTTGAAAAAGGACAAGCCATGAGGTTAAAACATACTATAAACCCTTAGCAATTAAAGTCATATTACTGGTTCATCGATAGACAGATAAACCAAGGGAAAATGATCAAAAGGTTAAAACAAAGATGAGAATTTAGTATACAATAAAAGTGACATCATTAGGACAAAGATAACATTTTAAATAAATGGTCTCAAGATAACAAAATTACCCCCTGGAAAAGATAAAGTTAAATTACTACCACACACTACATATGAGGATAACCTACAAATACCTGCAATACTTTATTGTGAAAAAACAACAACAACAACACATAAAAACACACACACACAAAAATGTAAACCAAGTTCTTTATAATATCGAAGAGGCTAAAGCCTTTCCAGCTTAACTCAAAATTTACAAACCAAAGAGGAAAGAGAAAAATATTTGACTACAAAAAAAGAGGGAACGGAGAGGAAGGAAAAAAGGAAGGAAGAAAGGAAGGAAGAGAAAGAGAGTGGAGACAGAAAGCAGATGGAGAGAAGGAGGGGAGAAATGAGAGAGAAGAGACGAGAGAAAAAAATTCTGCTTGGGGGAAAAAAACTACAAAATCAAATGATAAATGAAAAAGTGGGGGAGGAAATATCTGTAACTCACATCACAGATAAGGGGTAATCTCTTAAAGATCTCTTAGAAAACGTAAGTAATACAGTAAAAAATGACAATGGAAATAAGCACAAACAGTTCAGAGAAAATAACTCAAGTTTATAAAAATGTCCAACTTTATTCATAAGAGAAACACACACTGAAAGTACAAAAACTGAATCTCAGATGAAGATTAAGAAAATTACAGTACATCGGAAAAGCCTCAAGGGTTGATGATAGAACACTGGATATGTTCCAAATCCAAGATGCAGGATTAGAACAGCGATCAAAGCAAAATAATCGTGTCGCTGGCAACACACACACTGGGTAGTTATTAAAACTTAAGTGGTGACATTCTACAAAAGATGCCTGCAAAGAAAAGAAAAGTTGATGCAGCGGCTCAATCCTTCCAAGGTAAATGGAAAAATGATTTTTGTTGTTGTTGAGCTCAAAGGCAAACCTGTGTGCCTACTTTGTGGCGATGTGTTAGCAGTAATGAGAAAAGCCAGCCTGGAGTGTCATTTCAGCTCAAAACATGCTAAACGCAATGAACTGGAAGGCCAAATGCATCTGGATAAAATCAATGCTCTTCCGAGGAGTTTGGAGTCACAACAAGCCACTTTCACTAGGCCTCGTTGTAACAGAGACGTTATTCAGACGAGTTATGCAGTGGTTGCTGTGGAGTTGTTAGCACCAGACAAGGTAAAATTGTTTCAGGGTGTTTGTCTCGGAGAATCGTCTCAGATCGGATTACTGATTTAGCACAAGATATTGAAAAAACACTGAAGGGTTCTGCAGATTTCCAATTTTTCTCTCTGGCTTCTGACGAGACAACAGACATAACAAATACTGTCCAACCTGCCGTTTTCATTCGTGGGATAACTGTGGAGTTTGACCCACAAGAGGAACTGCTGTCACTGGAAGCCATGCATGGCACTACAGGAGGTGACTTGTTTGAGAGACTTGTTTTATCAATGAAAAAACTTGAGCTAACATTTGAAAAGTGAAGTGTCCTTCCTACAGATGGAGCTCCAGCCATGGTGGGCTCGCAAAAAGGGGTTCATTGCATTTGTCAAGAAACAACTGAGTTGTCTCTCAGTCTTGATCCAAGTGATTTAATTGTATGCCACTGTATCCTACACTAAGAAAGTCTCCATCCACAGTCATTGTGGTTCAACAATGTGATGTCAACTGTAGTGCCATGCATAAATTTTGTCAAAAGCAGAGGTTTTAACAGCCACCAGTTTATGAAGTTACTGAATGATCTTGACTCTGAGTACAGTGATCTTGTTTATCACTGTGAAGTGCGGTGGTTGAGTCCTGGGAACATGCTCATGAGGTTTTACGAACTGCAGGACAAACTCAAGTAGTTCATGGAGATGAAGGGAAAACCTGCCAGGAACTCAGTGATAGCAAGTGGCTGTGTGACTTGGTGTTCATGGTGGACGTTACCAAGTACCTCTCAGAGCTGAATGTCAAGCTGCAGGGCCTCAACCAGCATCTCAGCTCCCTGCTTTCAAACGTGAAATCACTGGAAGCTAAATTAAGGCTGTGGGGAGTGCAACTCGAAAGGTAACACAGTGCATTTCCCCACTCTGGAAGAACTATGACACTTGAATATGCTGGTGAATGTGGGAAACTAATCGAGGCATTTGATGAAAGATACAAGGACGCGAAAAGTAAACAAATGGAATTGAACATCTTTGCTGCAACTGTTCTATGTGGAACCAGCTGATATGCCTGATAACCTACAACAGGAGATAATTCAGCTGCAAAGCGATGATGAGCTGAAAGCTAGGTACAACCACCTCCCACTGCTATAAACGTTACATAAGCAATGATGCATTTCCCACTTTGAGGAGACATGCATTGAAAGGTGCATCTGTGTTCGAAACAACTTACCATTGCATAGTGTCTACTGTGCTCCAGACTGACCAAGGCAAACCTGGAAAAGCAGTTGTGAGTAGCAACATCCTCACCACCAGCTAACATCACACGCCTCACCAAAGAGAAGCAGTTCCAGCCCTCACATTAGGGGTGGATTAATTAAATGTTTGACCAAATATAGCAGACTAAATTTTAAGTTGATATTTGTGTATGGCCTGCGAATGATGTTATACATATCCAAATGGCCCTTGGCAGCAAAAAGGTTCCCCACCCCTGAACTAGACACACCACAGCCTACCCAAGTTGACACACAAAACTCACCAAAACAAGTAGTTCTAATTAGTTTCTTATTTCCATGTTTGCCTCATTTCCCCATCTGATTACCACACAACAGTTGGCACAATCCTTCTAATAGTGTTTCTTCCATGATTCAACTATTTCCATTGCTTCTCATTGCACTTGAAATAAAATCCAAACACTTTGCCTACAGATTCATCTTCCAGTCGAGTTTTCTCCTCTGCATGTTCTATGCTCCAGCCACCTGGAGTACTGGCCTCCTTTCTGTTTATCCAACCTGCCAGCTTCCTTCCCATGCTAGGGCCTCTGCATATACTTTTCAGATGTGTGATACATATCTGTTAATGAATAAATAATACATAATCCCCTCCTACAGAAGATAGCTCACTTTGTTAGAAGAGTCATTCGCATGGTTCCAGTGTGAAGCTAGCCCTGGAGCCTGGTGCTTCCAGACTGAGAGAAGTCCTGCTGTGCTCCTCACACTGTACTACATCTCCCAGTTAACTGCTCACAAACCGTCCCACTCAAATCCCTTTCTGCCTCTGGTCTTGGTGTTAATACCTGCTATTCTAGTCTATTCTTTCTTTTTTTACCCTCACAAGAGGACATTTTTCCATTTTTGTTCAGATAGAGTGGGAGGAAGAGAGAAACACTGATGTGACAGGGACACATAGAGTGGCTGCCTCCCACATGACCCCAACCAGAGCCAGGGACAAATCGTAACTAAGGTTTGTGACCTTGACCGGAATTGAAGCCATGACTCATTGGTCCCCCTGCCGACACTCTAACGGCTGAGCCTAACCGGCCAAGGCTAGTCTATTCTTTCCATGTTTTATTAGTGGTTTCTACAACTCTACAGGTTTTTACTATGAATTTGACCCCATTTACATATCTTCAAAAATTCCTAAATCCTTTGGGCTTACCAGTTTTCCTGCTTTGTAGTTTCATATTTTTATATTTCCTCTACCATTTTAATGTGAGTTGAAGATGAGGGAGATCGGAGTCAATCAGGTTCCTTTGACTGGAAATTTTCAGTTAAAAACATCAGAACAGAATCTCAAAACATATTAATGAAGATCATTTTATTGAATTACAGGACAGCGAGCACAAAAATTGAATATTTGAATAAAGTTTAACCATTTATTCAAAACTAGAAACTTTAAATGTAAAAGTACATTTTTAGTTAAGTATCTAGACATTACCCATTTTATTATTTAAAAACTTGGTGATTAAGGCAAATATTTAGTTATGCATTGAAGCCCCATACAGGTAAAAAACATAATCAACTAAAGTTTGTTATTAAAGCAAATTAAAGTTCTTCATTAGAAAAGCTGTTGCACCCTGGCCAGTTTGGCTCAGCAGTTGGAGAGTCAGCCTGCGGACCAGAGAGTCCTGGGTTCGGTTCCCGCTTGGGGCACGTACCAGAAAAAAGAAAAAAAAGAAAATCTGTTGCATAATAAGGAAACAGAGCACACGCTTAATGAATGTCAGCTTCTTTCCACCCCTTTGTATGGAAGAATGACAGACTCCTCTCGCCTCTCCCAAGAAAGCGTTTGAAAATGCCATATATAAAAAAATCTTAAAGTTTGATCTCACCTAACATGATTTGATCATAAAGTTCTTTGGTCAAGGGAACATAAGCTTTTTTCAAGTTATCCAGGAAGTAAAGTGGATCAGAAATTTTTAATGGACTAAATCCTTCTTGCACCATCTGAAACTTCTTTGGTTTGAATGTCCCTGTCATTTCCATCTTTTCCTATAAAGCAATTATTAGGATTAGTGGAATCATTTAATATTATATATAATACATAAGTATTATATTTAACAATATAGACTATAATATTGAGTTATAACACTTTCACACCCAATGGCCATCTCTATTTACTACTAATAATTTAACATTATAAATAAAAAGACTGCCCTCTAGAACATTTAAATCTTTAGCTTGATTTACCTGTGAACTTTATTCAACGTATAAAAATTATGAACACAGTCAATAATTGATTATACCTGATATAAATATGTCTAAGAAACATCAGTTTATTTCTTCAATTCAATGTCAATGTATTATGTACAGAGTACGCTATTAGACATCAACAGATAAAAGATGTGAAAAACAGTAACCAATTCCATAAGGCAGAATACTGTAAGAACCAGAGGGAGTAAAGAATGATCTAAAACTTGAGTTTCCAAGCAATACACTGAAGTACAAGTGGTACCTCAGTGAATTTCCAGGGTCTCCACAGAATATTTTAAATTTTCAAGATATACCCAGTAATGTCTGTCAGTCACCACTTGCAAACTACTAGCTCAATATTAGTTTGTGTTACATTCTTTTCAGTGATGTTAGATCTTTGGGAAACAGTTTTCAGTGGAGCTGTGATAAAAAACAAATCCAGCCCCAAATCAATGTGTAACATGGAATTATGCTGGCCCTGGTCAGTTCAATCTAAGTTCAAAGTTTGAAGAGTTGTGTAATACCCAACTTACACATTGTTATTTGTGGTTATTTGAAAATGAAATAAAAGTATTTTTTCCTTTCAATTTATATGTATTATTATTTTTCAAATAGCAACTAATTTGTTAGACCTAAATACTTACTAATTTGTTCTGGCCTAACCACTGAATAAACAAATATTTAGGTGTTTGTTTTGGCCCAAGAATGTCATAAAATAATTACTGAGACACTAAAGATGCCATGAATCTAGAAAGTTTAAGAATCTCTGCTTTAAGGGATTTAAAGAAGGTAAGAGTGGATGTCATTGCATGGAGATGCAACTGTTTTAACGCAGATGACATGCAGAGGTCTATGTAAAGTTCTATGAGTGACTCGGTCGTTTTGACTTATCCTCAACTAATTGTGGAGTCAATTTCACTTTGAACCTCCTCCCCTGATCTCACCCTTCTCTCCCCCCTCCTACCCAACACTGTCATCGTAGAATTAGATGTGACCGTGTAGAAACACATATTCTTTGTTTTTATCTTTCTTTTACAGTTTACATTCAGTATTATTTTGTATTAGTTTCAGGTGTACAGCATAGAGGTTAGACAACCAGACACTTAACAAAGTGGACCCCCGATATTTCCAGTACCCACCTGGCACCATACATAGTTATTACAATATTATTGACTATGTTCCCTATGCTGTACGTTACATCTCCGGGACTGTTTTGCAACTACCAATTTGTACTTCTTAACCCCTTCACCTTTTTCACCCAGCCCCCTAACCACCCTCTCCTCTGCAACCATCAGTCTGATCTCTCCATCCACAAGTCTGTTTCTATTTTGTTTGCTTATTTTGCTCTTTAGATTCCACATGTAAGTGGAATCATATGGTATTTGCCTTTCTCTATCTGACTTATTTCTCTTATGTTCATTGCAGTGCTATTTATAACAGCCAAGAAATGGAAGCAACCCAAGTGCACATCAATAGATGAATGCATAAAAAAGCTGTGTGGTACATACATACAATGAAATACAACTCAGCTGTAAAAAAATGAAATCTTACCGTTTGCAGCAGCATGGAAGGACCTAGAGGGTATTATGCTAAGTGAAACATATTCTTTTTCTCTTTTTAGAAAATCAGAAGCTCACTCTACTTAATACAATTTGATGTTCTGCCTTAAAAAAAATTACTATGCCAGGTATATTTCATTAGGTAATTTTCATTAAAACAGCACTTTTTAATGGTGTCATAACATCTCACCTAATTATAATTTTCTTTGTTTGTTTGTTAATCCTCATCTGAGGATATTTTTTCCATTGACTTTTAGAAAGAGTGGAAGGGAGGGAGCGGGGGGAGGGGAGCATTGATGTGAGAGAGACACATCAATTGGTTGCCTCCTGTACATTGGGGCTGGGTATCAAACCTGCAACCCAGGCACATGCCCTTGAACAGGAATTGAACCTGAGACCTTTTGGTGCATGGGCTGATGCTCCTACCACTGAGCAACACCGGCCAGTACTAATTATAATGTTTTAATTAACCTCTTCTTCTTGAACTTAGAGAGAACATGAAAAAAATTTACAACTATAAATAATACATTTAAGAACATCTTTCTACATAACATTTGCACATCTTTGACTCTTTCCTAAGGGTAAATTTCTGGGAATAAAATTACTAAGTCAAAATATATGCAGATTCTAAGAGTGATCACATATTTACCAAAATGTTTCCTAGAGAGATTATGACAATTTGTGTTTCAGAATGCTAGGACCAATTTCATTGCTTCCCAGCCATACTGAGTAATAAAACATTTACATTTTTTTGGTAAATTTATTGTTAGAGAATCCTTTTAAAATTTGTGCTGAACAGAGTTTTAATAGAATAATTGTTTTATTCATTTTGTCAGAAGTAATTTATTGTTTTGCTTATATCAGACCATAACTCATTTATTAAATATTTTGACTGCCAACTAAGTGTCATGCATTATTCTAACTATAACAAATATTGCAATAAACACAACAGTCATGGCCCAAGTGTGTTTAGGTGTTTATGGAGGCTAAAACACTTTCTAAATTTGTATAAGACTGATTTAGTCTTCTAGAGTGGTCCTATGCCAAAATACTTCTGCTTAATAACAATGAATTTTGCCCAGCCCACGTGGCTCAGTGGTTGAGTGTCGACCCATGCACCAAGAGGTCGCTGGTTAAATTCCCAGTCAGGGCACGTGCCCAAGTTGTGGGCCGAATCCCCAGTGGGGGGCATGCAGGAGGCGGCCAACTGATGTTCTCTCTCATTCATGTTTCTATCTCTCTCTCCCTTCCTCTCTCTCTGAAATAAATGAAGAAAAAATATTAAAAAGCAAAACAAAACAGTGAATTTTAAATAGTCTTAGGGGAAAATGTTTAAAATAATACTTTGATTTCTCAACTTCCTACTCCATTAAAATACATTGTTTGTAGGGTGGGACAGGAGGGGCAAGAAAAAGCTAGGTGTAGTTATAAAAGGACAACATGAAGGGTCCTTGTGGTGTTGAAATTGTTCATATCCTGACTGTGGTCATTGATGCATAAGGCTATACAGCTAATAAAAGTGTACAGAACTTAATACTGAAGGGGTTAAGAACAGGCCTCCCCAAGATAGACATGGAATTATTCTGAAGGCAAATGAGACCCTGAGGGCTCATGAGAAACTTCTACCTCTGCCTTCAAGAATTTAAGTTAGGGGTCTTGCCCATAATAAGTTATCACCAGAAATAACATTTTACAACCTATATCTATATGGCAGGGGAAACTTCTAATTACTGAACATCTGCTCTTCTTATTGTCCTGTAAATGATCTTCCTTCTCTGTGAAGCCCCAAAGAAATAACATTTTACGACCTACATATATGGCAGGGCAAACTTCGAATTACCAAACATCTGCTCTTCTTATTGTCCTGTAAATGATCTTCCTCCTCTGTGAAGTCCCAACGCACCTTACCTCATCCTTAGCTCAGAATGCCATACATACCGCATTTTAACTTCCTGTCTCTAAAGCTCTCATGTAAGGGGGGGGTCTCTGACTCTCTCAGGTATGTGGGGTTCCCATATGTTCGTACGTAATTACATTTGGTTAGTTTCTCTTGGTAATCTCTCTCATGCCAATTTAATTATTAGACCAGCTGGAAGAACCTAGGATAGAGGAAAATTTCTTCCTCCTCCACAATATACACACGCACACACACACACACACACACACACACACAACCAGTACAAGTAAAACAGAGAAAAGTTTAAAAAGATCAGCAAATTGTATCATGTCAATATCAGTTTTGAAAAATGTTACCATTGGAGGAAACCAAGTAAAGGGTACACAGGATCTCTCTGTATTATTTCTTACAACTGCATGTGAATCTACAATTATTTTAAGTGAAAATATTTATTTTCAATTAAAAATGTGTTACTTCTACTTCATATTTACTTACCTTTAGTATTTCAGAGGATTGCTATAAAAATAATCTGAGACGATGTATATAAAAACTCTTAAAATAAAAATATTATGTAAATGAAATATGTATTTATGTCAGTTCAGATGATGTGTCCTATTGGCCAAGCAAAGACTTGGCCATGAGGATTGCTCAGCAAATACTTTAAAAATAAATATGGCACCATCCATTGCTCTATTAGAGACCTAATAGCAATATAAAAAATGTACCCGGAAAAATTCTATGTGACTGGATGATAAGAGATGATGAATACTAGCTTTGGGAAATTAGATTTGAAGCACAATGTTAAATAAATGAATGGCTGAAGAAATGAGCAAGCAAGGTTCCCCAGTAGCTGGGCAAATTTGTTTTTATTTTTACTGTGTTTTAGTCTAGTAACCTAACAAGAGAGAGAGCCTACCTCTCCAAACAAATAAATTCAGAATTTCTCCAAAATTTAAAATCCCAGAGGGAGTTGGGCAAAATGAGGACAAAATTAAAAGCAAAATTGCTTAAGGCCAATTAATTGCCTTTAGGTTCTGTACACATCCTACAGACATCTTGATGTCAGCTTGGTAGAACCCAATTTTAGGCTCACAACAATAAATGTCTTCACAATGCATGTGTAAGACGTGGTTTTGGCTTGTCACTGTCTCTGGGACCATCACTTTTGCTGAGGTCTTGATTGAACAGGAAGAGAGCAATTCTATAATTAGGACAAAGACAAAGACATCCTAGCATTTCATCATGCTCCCCCTTCTATAATTAGGTTTCAAATATGGTATAAATTAGCAGCCCAAGGCTTTTCATTGCTCTTGAAATTCTCTAATGTAAATAAAATGAACATATTAGCTAAAGGATAAAATCTTATTTTGTAATCAAACCATCTCCTGAATTCCTGGTTTTAAATTTGATGGGTAAGTAAAATAATCTTAATTCTTAAAATTCAAATAGCAAACTTACCTGAATTCTTAAAAATCGTGGGCAGGCATAAGCTGGTAAGAATGTTACAACTTGTTCATAAACTTTTTCCAAGTCTAAAGACTTATTTGGTTTTAAAATAATAGAGGCCATTCCTGTTTTTCCTTCACAATCTGAAAAAAATGTTTGAAATAGAGTTCATCTTACAAGTCCTAGGTGAGCTGTTAAAATAGTCCTGTTAATTGCATACTAATTGTTGTAAAGGGAGACATTAAATCTATTTCAGTAATCACAATGCGACAGTAGCATAAATGAGTGAGTCCTTCCCCGAGCATATGATTTACTCCCTAGAAATAATTTAGAAACAAGGAAGGCCAGAGTCTATTCCTAACTGTCTACACTACAAGAATGAAATAGATGGAATGGAAAATACCATAAGCAACCCATAATTTGCATCTTATCACAATTAATATATTAAGAGGAAATATTTATTTGAAGACAAATATATTCCAGAGAAATGTCCATAATACACATCGATGAAAAAAGTAAAGGGCATATTTTTAAGGTAAGAAACTAGGGGCTGGTATTGTCATAACTAAGTCCACAGATCGCTTACTGCCGTCTCCTGCAGCACCCAGTGGCTGGCTATTATAGTAAACATCCCATTCCTCTGCTCTCCTATCTACACTCTCACCCACCCACCCCCATGTCCCCATGCACTTGCAAACATTAGTTGGAAAATATTGTCATTAGTAAAAATAATAAGAGTGAAGAGGAATCCTCTGATTTCAGGTTGGTCACTTAAAAAAAAATTTTTTTTCTTTATTGATTTGAGAGAGAGAGGAACGGAGAGGGAGAGAGAGAGATAGAAACATCAATGAGAGAGAACATTGACTGGCCACTGCCTACATGCCTCCCACTGGGGATTGTGCCCACAACCTGGGCATGTGCCCTGACCGGGAATTGAACTGGCAACCTCTTGGTGCATGGGTTGCTGCTCAACCAGTGAGCCACAGGTTGGTCACTTTTATTTGTCATTTCCACCATTGTAATACAATCCCCACATGCATATTTATAGAGATAAACGAGGCCGAACAATTTAAAAATGATTTTTAAAAGTTCAACTTAACCAATAGTCAGTGTTATTAAACATTTAAACAAGAACATGTTTCTGTTTAGTGGCTTGTATAAACTCCAGTCACAGAGAAAAATAATAGACGATTGAAAAGCTGTAACTACTGTCAGGCAGTGAGTCACCGATCAGAGTTTTTAAGCTCTGCTTAAAAATAAACGCAATATTGAAATTCAATGGGGAAAAAAATCAACCTATACTAAAATAAAAAAACAAAAATCATCAAAAAGAATTCAATGGGTACCTTTCCCCTGATGTGAACTTGAAGTTGGGCAGCTTGGTTTAGGGCATTATTTGCCATGACAAGGCTGAGATAACTATCGAATATATAAAAAATCCAAAATGTTGCCCTGGCTGGTTTTTTCAGTGGTTAGAGCACTGGCCCTCGGACCAAAGGGTTAAGGGTTTGATTCCCGGTCAAGGGCATGTACCTGGATTGCAGGTTCGATCTCTGGCCCTGCTTGGGGTCATGCAGGAGGCAACCAATTGATGTTTCTCTCTCTCCCTCCCTCCTTTCCACTCTATCTAAAAAAAAATCAATGGAAAAATATTCTAGGGTGAGGATTAACAACAACAACAACAAAAATTGAATTAGTAAGATCAGTGCAAAACTGAAGAAAAGTTGGCACAATCTCTCTGAGAATCCTTCCCAAACTTGAAATATATGCATACCTGGCACAGCCACACCATAGACGTTTGATTCTTGTATGAAATCTAACATTCCAATAACATCAGCAACCTCTGTGGTTGCAATGTTTTCCCCTTTCCATCTAAATAAAAAACAAGTTCCAGTTAGTACACTTATATTTGAAGAACTAGGTACCCAGTTTTAGTTTCAGTGCCTTGCATTTGGCTCTGTGCAAAGCACCTAGTAACCCAAAATAATGGCAGTTTTCAAACTAAGAAAACACTGTTGATAACTCAACAAAACCAGTATCTGTTTTTAGTTAAAATTACTTTATCTGTCTCTCATTGGTATAATTGGCTTACTCTAAAATGTTTATAATATGTCATAAAATAAGATAATTATTATCCCCCTTTATTTGGTAATATAATAAAAGTTAAGTAGAAAATGTCCCCTACCTCTAATGGCAGAGCTAGAAAAAAATGAAAGGAAAGCTATGTAGTTAGCTGCTTTTCACTGTACTGAACCCCTTTAATTTCTAGGGATTAATCCCTTTGGCTACTTTAGTGTATATGAATGGATATTTTATTTTTTTTGCTAAAAATTTTTTTTTTCTTTATTGATTTTCGAGACAGAGGAAGGGAGAAGGAGAGAAAGACAGAAACATCGACGAGTGTGAACATCGATTAGCCGCCTCCTGCATATCCCCCATTGGGGATTTGGCCTACAACCTGGGCATGTGCCCTGACTGGGAATCAAACCTGCAGCCTCTTGGTGCATGGGTCAACACTCAACCACTGAGCCACACCAGCCGGGCTGGATATATTTTTTTTAATTAAAATAATTTTACAGAATGTGGGCTCCTAACAGGGTACAAGAAGGAGAGGAAGTAGAAAGTATAAATCATTTATTCATTCAAGCATTTTGTGAAGGTCTATTGTCTGTCCTTCACTGTCCTATAGTCATTGACTAGTAGTAAAATAGTTTCATTAGCCTAAAATAACCTTAAGTAATTAAAAAAATAAAATCATAGAAAAGAAAATTTTGCTGTTTCATTATATTTATCACTAGGTCAAGAATTAGACCATATTTGACCAAACTGGTTTTTTGTTTTAACCCTACCATTTAGACTTCATGTCTGTCTACCTGTTTGATATTCTAAAAAAAAGGAATTTACTAATTTGGACCAGATGGATTCATTAAAATAATGATAAAAATTGGCATCAAAATTTAACTTATGTTTCAATCCAGAAACAGATGTCTGATAGATTTTTAAATGGGGAAACATGACTAAGATAAAAGGATTGTGTCTACCCTGAAGGTAAAGAGCATGTGGTCTATTATGTTTCCGTAGGGTCCTGCTCTAAGCACAATTCACAGTCACAGAATAGGCAGTGCGACCACTGACATCTCATACCTGAAGGTGTCTCCAATACGGTCCCAAAAATAAAGGAAATTCTCATGATCTTGGACCATTAAATCTCCTGTATTAAAGTAAACATCTCCCTTCTTAAAAACATCACATAGCAATTTCTTTTCGGTGTGCTTCTTGTTCCCAGCATAACCAAAGAAAGGATTCTTTTCATTCACTCGAGAAATGAGAAGCCCAGGTTCTCCTGCCAGAGAAAGGCATTCTTCAGTGATCTGATTAAAACTGCTACATACACACCATGCATATACCTAATTTATTTCTGACCAGCACACCTAGTGTTGCCTGCCTTCCTTTCCTCTGAACTTACCTTTACTATAGTTGACATCATTTGCTCTGGGTGCTGGGAGTACAACCAGCACATCCTTTCACAGACTGCCACAAATGCAAATTACTTTGGAAAAACTAACAAAAAGGAAATTGAATGTGAAGAAAAGTACATTAAATTTATTTTACATCCTGGGTGGATAAAATAATGGCCACTTTTCTTTTGGATTATGTAGATTTACCATTGATAATAATGGCAATTATAAAAATAACAATCATAATAATAATAATTTTAATAAGGTTATGATAGTAGCAATATTTATTGGGCATGCACTGTGTAGACAGCCCCATATGTCTTTTGCAACATTTTGTCTATTGTTCATAGAAATGCTTTGAAATGGATAATTTCACAGGGAAGAAACTAGGGCCCAAAAGGGTAAAGTCACTTACCAAAGTCCAACAGGAATGAACCTATACTTCAAGTCTCTATGATTTTGCAATGAGGTTTTTGTATAAATCTATCTCTGGTCTAATTAATATGTTATTGGAAGCTTAGGAAAATGTTTTATTCCTTTGGGACGTTAGTCTGGAAATCCTCGATGCTCAAGAGATGGAATATGAAATTTATCTAAATGAATTTTTCAATCACATTTAGTCAAATGAATCAAGATTTTGGTCAGCAATCTGCAAGGTGAAAAACTACTTCTAAGAGAAGCGTAAATGACAAAGCAGAGCAGCAGTCACTGCCCCAGAAGATTTCAAGGTCATTGTTGACTTGCTTTGCCCCTTGTGAAGAGAGGAAGAGAGTTAACATCTTCATGATGAGTTAAATGTTTTAAATTCCAGCTTTTTTTTTCTTTTCTTTTTTAATACTTTCTATTCAACCGCCAATTACTCCCACTCCTCCTGGACATTCTAGTTTCCAACAGCACACATGCCAATGGCCAAAACAAGCCTGCTTTGCTACGGCAGAGGCCCTTCATGGTCACTGTAATTACCACCACCACCACCACCACCACCACCATCATCATGTTCATTGTTACACTTATTGAGCACTTTCCGAGTAACAGTCACTATTGTGAGCACTTTACATATGTGTCTTATCTGATCATTATCACAAATCTGTAAGGCAGGCACTCATACACTCTTTACTTTACAGTTAAAAAACCAAGGAAGGAAGTCTAATTTGCCCCATGTCACACGCAGTCAATTGTTGGGGTTGGAACTGCTCTTGACCCAGGTCCACCTGACTCCGGAGGCTCTCCTCACCGCATAGTCCACCAGTCTGCATTCCCTGTGGTCAGAATTTTCAAGCCTCATATTTCCCTTAAATTTTATGTTGTTTTTCTTTTTCAGGACACACGTGATAGTTTCTTCCCTGGGAAATCAATTATTGCAAATGCTTGGAAAGGGCATATTGTATCCTTATATATCCTTTGCAGGCATAATTTATGCAAGACAATGCTTTAAAGGGAAAATAAAATATTTAGTAATCCTCAATGAGAACTGCAAAATAGTAATAGGTAGTTCTGGGATTCAAGTTCCAATACCAGCTATTACTGTAATTGTAAAAAACAAAACAAAACACGCTAGCAAAGTGTATTTAAATGAAGTTCCCTGTAATCTCTTTAGAGATGGCTTTTCTCTTGAACACTATCTATGGAGTTCACTTAGGGAAAGATACTTTTGATAAATACCCTTAGGCTTGAAATTCAGGGACTTGGGAAATCTTTTTTTTAATAAACAAGGTTTATATTTTTTCCAGCCTTTCAGCTGCCAGAAAAAAACAAAAGGATACGAAAAGCAGGTTTGCAACCTTTCTCAGGAAATCATCTTGGAACTGTAGTTTACATGTATTTTGAGGCAGTAAAAAGTAATTTTGGCCTGCTTTATTCATTCAGACTGGATCTCTAAACAATTCTAAGTGCAATCTCTACATTTAATTTTCTATATTGATGATATGCAGTGGCAAGTTAATTGGGGAACTTGCTTTCATTAAAATTTTTAAGAAAGTCTACTTGGGTTGAGGAGGGGGTGACAAGCCACATGCTGGGCCCTCTGCAGGCATAAGTCATCTCATATAATTGTCACCAATAAGCACATAGTGTAAATGTTGTCACCTCTACTCTACATATGAAGAAAATGAGACTCAGTACATTTCTAAGTGTGAAAGCCCAGATGTAAATTCAAATCCTCCTGGCTTTCCACTACTCCTAGAATGTTAGATTAAGTCATTCATTTTAATGTTGTATTTTAGTGACATTGGACATATGCCACTGTCACAAAGCAGAAGTGGTGGATTAAGAAAAATATGAGCCCAACAGCAATCACTTTTAAATGTTAATAATTTACCATCTGAGAGACTTACTTGGGGCCCCTAATATCTAATAATTAAACTATTCTACCCACATTGACATTCCAAGTCATATTACATACTAGAAATAATCATTCTTTCTTTTCTAAATTTAGTAGTAATTTAAAAGGACATTCAGAAACCTTGCCTGAAGCGACATCTTCACATACAAGAATCTTACCTTTTTTCACACGACTACACCAGCCCTGTTCATTTCTAATGGGTTCATCTTTCTCAAAGTCATACTTGATCAAGTCAAAAATGAAAAAAAGCTGCAAAAATCAAATCAATGGAAAACAAGATGTAGTTATTTGTGCAGTGACATCTACTGGTAGTAGATTTTACACTCATATGAAATAAAGCATTAGAATATGGATGTATTAAAACAAGGAGCCTTTACTGATACAAAATTAAATATTTGGACATCCAAACTAAAGGTATTAGTAAACAGCACTCATGTACTGGCATTCACTTCCATTTCCTTTTTGTTGCACGTTACCTTAGCAAAACATTACTAACTTTCATCCTGAATGAAAGAATGTAAGCAATCCCAGTGCTCAACCACACAGCCTACTAACTGTACAGAAGAAGACCACTTCCGTGCCTCCTGCATGGCCCCTACTGGGGATTGAGCCCACAACCCGGGCATGTGTCCTGACTGGGAATTGAACCAGGGCCTCTCCGTCCATGGGACCACGCTCAATCCACGGAGCCACACTGGCTGGGCAGTATTATATTATTTTAAGATGAGGTCCAATGAAAGAGGTTGCAAAGCAAAACATACTGTTATTCTTATACATAAAGATTCTTTATTAAAATGCAAGCTTGCAGCTTTTTGGTCTTGGTCTGTAACTGGGTAACAGGATACTGGCCACCTGCCTAATGACTGGTGAAAAGAAAGTTCCAGAAGTCCCAGAACTGCATTTATCAATTTGACTAGACAAGAACAGAGCTCTGTTCATTACCCAATCTTTTCTCTCCTGTTTTAAAATGCTTTACATTTTGAAAAATTTGCCCAGCAACTGGTGTTATCAGCTTTAGTGTTCTTTCTTTTCAATTAATTTGGCAACCACCATTAATTCACCCAACACCAAATCACTCACTGTTTAGTGTGCCTATTATCAGATACAGGGGATTTGATGGTCAGAAACTGGGTAATTTCATGATACTAATGCAATTTAAATGTGTCACAGCATCTTCTGGAAGTGTCCAGGATCACAGCATTACATCTCAGCCTGACGGATTTCTGTATTTTTTTTTCTGTTAAGAGGTCCAACGTTACCAAAAATGGCTGTTATAACCAAAAAATAGGAGCCACACTTTACCTCCTGAACATATATGCACATACACATCTTCATTCTACACTGTGTACATCTTTTGCTTTTTCTACCTCGGCATCTCCTTATGGTTCTTTAATTTACGTTCGATAATTTCACCAGGATACATTTTTCAGATGATCATTCTGTATCATATATTTTCTATCTGGAATACAATGTGCTCTCTTTTCTATATCATTGAAGTTTTTAAAAAGTCAAATGTTGAAAAACCTATAAATAAAATATGCTGCTATGATTCTGAATGTATTTTCCCTTGATGATATATAAAATTTTGAGACTATTTTTTTTTAAATTTTATTCTTTAAAAAATATTGTTGAGATGAACCTAAATACATATGCATGTATGCATAACCAATGCACATAGACAACAATGCTAATGGGTGGGGGGGCAGGATGGGGAGGAATGTGTATGGGGGGAAAAAGGAGAAAAGTCTGTAACAAAAATAAATTAATAAAAACTGGAAAAAAATAAAAATATGTTGAGCACAAATTCTATTTTGACAATTATTTCCTCCAAGTCTGTTGAAGATAATTGTCTATCTTTTGCCTTCCATGGTTGCTATTGTGAAATCAGCTTTAAGTCTTTTACTCTTAAGAAGGTGATTTTTGGGGATTCCAAAATGGCAGCACAGTGAATGAAAGCTACTCAGATTATCTCCCAGGACCAAACTGGAATTACAACTAAAATACAGACAAATTGTCAGGAAAAAGCAAGAGAAAAGCAGCTTGGAGGACCATATAACCAGGGACACTGATTCGGTCCTGGTAGGACTGCAGAGGTGCGAGAGGGGGGCTGGGAGCCCACGGTGGGCAGCAGCCTTAGCAGTGAGCAGCGCCCTTGGGGTTAAACTCCCACGCCTGCTCCACAGCACAGAGCTGGGACAGATGCTGGAATAGCCACAGCCACTCACCTTGGGCTCCGGCAGAGGGAGGGCGGACTGGACTGGAGCTGTGTGGGGACACTAGGGATTTGGAGGGTGCTCAAAGCTTTTGCTGAGTGCTGCCATGCAGGACGGTGGCCATCTTACTCCTTCCCAGGGCTCTGGGGAGAGGCAGCAGCCCCTCCCTCGGAGATCCAACCCCACCCTGTGGGCCATTGAAGTGCTAACTGAGGCTCATTAACAACCAGCATCTGCTCCACCCTTGGGAAATCCCTTTACCCTGAACACCTGAGGTAGTTTTTCTTTTTCTTAATTTTTAATTTTTTTTTGTTACAGATGTTTCTCCTTTTTAACCCCATTGGCACTCCCCCTCCCCATCCCCCCACCCAGTCCCCGGCTTTGTTGTCCATGTACATTGGTTATGCATACATGCATATAAGTTCTGTGGTTTATCTCTTCCCACCCCACACCCCCTCTTCTGAGGGATGTCAGTCTGTGCCCTACTTCCATGTTTCTGGGTCTATTGTATTCCTCAGACTGTTATGTTCATTATATTCCGTATATAAGTGAGATCATGTGGTATTTGTCTTTTTCTGCTTGGCTTATTTCACTTAGGATAATATTTTCCAGGTCCCTCCATGTCGTCTCAAAGGATAAGAGATCTTTCTTTCTTACAGCTACATAGTACTTCATTGTGTATATGTATCAATGCTTTTTTATACATTCGTCTACTGATGGACACTTGGGCTGTTTCCAGATCTTAGCTATTGTAAATAGTGCTGCTATGAACATGGGGGTACATATATTCTTCCTGATTGGTGTTTCAGGCTTCTTATGGTATATTCCTAGAAGTGGAATCACTGGGTCAAATGGAAGTTCAATTTTTAATGTTTTGAGGTAACATCATATTGTTTTCCATAGTGGCTGCACCAGTCTGCATTCCCAACAGCAGTGTACTAGACTCCCCTTTTCTCCACACACTCGCTAACACTAGTTGTTTGATGATTTGTTGATGGCGGCCATTCTGACAGGTGTGAGGTGATACCTCATTGTTGTTTTAATTTGCATCTCTCTGATGATTAGTGATGTTGAGCATTTCTTCATATGTCTCTTGGCCATTTGTATGTCCTGTCTGGAGAGGTGTCCTTTCAGCTCCTCTGCCCGTTTTTTTAATTGGGTTCTTTGTCTTCCTTTTGTTCAGTTGTATGAGCACTTTATATATATTGGAAATTAACCCCTTATCTGATATATCATTGGCAAAGATGTTCTCACATACTGTGTGTTGCCTTTCCATTTTGATGGTTGTTTCTTTTGCTGTGCAGAAGCTTTTTATTTTGATGTAGTCCCATGTGTTCATTTTTTTCTTTGTTTCTGTTGCCTTAGGTGATGTATCAGTGAAAATTCTGCTCCGTATGATGTCTGAAATTTTGTTGCCTACATTTTCTTCTAGAATTTTGATGAATTCACAGGTCACATTTCAGTCATATATCCATTTTGAGTTTATTGTTGTGTATGGTTTAAGTTGATGGTCTAGATACAGTGATACCTCGGTTCTCGAACGCCTCGGTTTTCGACCAAATGGAGATTCGAGAAACTTTTGTCTTGGAATCCGAACAAATATTTGGAACTCGAACTTCCGAGATGAGCCGAATGGCGTTCATTCGGCCCAGCGCGCCTTGCTTGCGTCATCAGTGTGAGTGCAGAGAGAGATCACGCTTTGTGGAGTCACGCTTTTCTATTGGTTTCATTGCTTCGGTTCTCGAACAATTCGGTTCTTGACCGTCCTCCTGGAACGAATTATGTTCGAGAACCGAGGTATCACTGTACATTTTTTGGCATGTACCTGTCCAATTTTCCCACCACCATTTATTAAAGAGGCTGTCTTTACTCCACTGAATGCTCTTACCACCTTTGTCAAATATTAATTGAGCATAGTGTCTTGGGTCCATTTCTGGGTTCTCAATTCTGTTCCACTGGTCTATATGCCTGTTCTTGTGCCAGTACCAGGCTGTTTTGATTACAATAGCTTTGTAGTATAACTTCATATCTGGTATTGTGATCCCACCTACTTTGTCCTTCTTTTTCAAAATTGCTGTGGCTATTCAGGGACATTTTTGGTTCCATATGAACTTTTGAAGTATTCGTTCTAGTTCTGTGAAATATGCTATTGGTATTTTGATGGGGATTGCATTGAATCTATAGATTGCTTTGGGTAATATGAACATTTTAATGATGTTAATTCTTCCAATCCATGAACAAGGTATGTGCTTCCACTTTTTTATATCTTCCTCTATTTCTTTTTCAATGTCCTGTAGTTTTCTGCAAATAGGTCCTTTATTCTTTGGTTAAGTTTAATCCTAGGTATCTTAATTTTTTTGCCGTGATGGTAAATGGGATTGTTTTTTCAGTGTCTCTTTCTGTGAGTTCATCATTGGTGTATATGAATGCCGTTATTTCTTTTTTTTTTTTTTTTTTATCCTCACCTGAGGATATTTTTCCATTTTTTGCACAGAGTGAGAGGGAGAGAGAGGAAGGGAGAGAGACTGAGAAACATCGACGTGAAGGGACACATCGAGTGGCTGCCACCCGCACGACCAACCAGGGCCGGGGACAAACTGCAACCGAAGTACGTGCCCTTAGAGGGAACCGAACCCGGGTCTCTCCAGACCGCAGGCCGACGCTCTAACCGCTGAGCCAAACTGGCCAGGGCGAATGCCGTTATTTCTTGACATTAATTTTGTATCCTGCTACTTTGCCAAATTCATTTATTAAGTCTAGTGAATTTTTGATGGATTCTTTAGGGTTTTCTATGTATAATATCATGTCATCTGCAAATAATAACAGTTTCACTTCCTCCTTTCCAATTTGGATCCCTTTTATTTTTTCCTCATGTCTGATTGCTGTGGCTAAGACTTCCAGTATTATGTTAAATAAGAGTGGCGAAAGTGGACATCCGTGTCTTGTTCCTGTTTTTAATGAAAATGATTTTAGTTTCTGCCCATTGAGTATGATGTTGGCTGTAGGTCTTTCATATATGGCCTTTATTATGTCGAG